GCAAATGAATTCCAGGCTTCTGACTCTAGGCTTCTCTGTTCTTTCACACTGTGACAGTTATTCTGAACTGGAAAAAATAGGTGCTATCCAGAAGGGGTGTGAGGAGCTGCTAGAAAATCTTCAAAAAGTCTCATTAAATACACTCAAATTTGCACACAAAAGGAGAGTTCTGGCAGGGAGTTTTTACTGTTCATCAAAATACGTCATAAAATTCATGTCTTATTACCTTCTCTACATACGTCAAACAATCTAAAGATGCTTAGGTAATTGCCATGGAGCGCCATACTATCATTCGATATCTTATTAGTAGAAAAAATGGTACAGAACCAAGTAGATAGTTGATGGATTTGGCCTTTGAACACATCCTCAAAGGTAATGAGGGGCCAGCATGTCTGGGCTCCCTAACCCAGAATGAACCACATAATTTCTTCATATCAGTATGAGTGACATTAATAAGTCAGTGTGGTGTGCTTTGTGGCTCCAGGATAAAAATCAAGAAAGCAACTTTTTGTTCTAATCCATAAGAAATGGCCCCCAAAACATGATTGCTTCATTTAAACACTCTTCTTTTACATAATCAATGTCTTCAGATGTACCCTAAATCATAGAACTATTATGAGAATGTATGGGAAGCTTAGATTTGGATTAAACCATTTAGTACAATGCTTCTGCAAAACCCTAATTTGCCCACTACAAACAATTATTCAGCCTTTGCTTGAAACATTTGCAGGAACAGGGTAATCACATCTCCTACACAGCACTGTACAGTATGCCTTTGAACAACTATAAAAGTTAGAAGATTGTTATATTGATGAGAAACACGCTCTCCTCTTATACCCATTCCTTCACTGCAGGCACAGGTGGAACTCTGTTATCTCTTCTCTATGACAAACCTTTAGATATTTGAAAGTTACCATTGTGGAAATAAAGACTACACAAATGAGAATAAGCAGAGAACATTTATCTATTTATTCAGAGCTTGTTATAGCATGGGAGTCAGCCACTATCACCTGCATTTACCAGAGACCCAAAGGGATACATGGGAGTAGTAGGAAGACCTTATAATAATAATTTTTAAAGGGACGGCTTTGAATATGTTCTGATTGGAAGTTGTTGACATGGGACAGCTGAAGAAGGGCTTACACGAAACACACCATCTATGCAATTGTTTTTGGGAGCGCATTTAGCTTTCTCCACTTGGTTCTGAGTTGGAAATAGCATTAAAACAAGGGAAACTGACTTTTGTAGACCACGTCCTGAATGTTTTGAGCCAACTACTGCAGAAGTTGTGGGTCAATATTCTAATGTTACCTGTGATCCACCTATTGTCTGTATGTATATTCAATCTCCCCTCTTTTCGTCACTCTCTTTTTTGGTCAAAAGGTAAGGTGAGAGATCCAGATCCTCACTGCTTGATGCTCGTTCACTTGTACTCTTAATCATATCACGAGCTCTTATTTTTTGTTGTGGTTGCATCATCATTGTGGTCATCTGATAAGAGTGGCCATATACAAACTTTTAAGACTTTATATGGGATTTGATGTACCAGCATCATGAACACTATAGTAAAAACAAAACAATTTAAGTCAATTTAATATTGACCTGATTCTTCAGAACCAGCGGGGTTATTGACTTGGTTCTTCAGAACCAAGAACTTCAATTGTCCAACCCAAGGTAAAAGAATAAATCTCATAGTCCACAAGGACCAAACTTAGAGAACCAAGTAGTCTTTTGTCAAGCTGACACGTAGACTTATTTTACCTTACCTGATCCAAGTATAGCAAGAAATATCAGCAATGCTACAGATACCGCCATGACCAGCGGAAAAAAAAAAATCCAGAACAGTGTGATTGTTCAATTGTCTTGCCAACAGTTGAGATGGACCTGTATTCCATCTAGGGTAGAGGTAGCATCACTAACAGTTTCTGCCAGCATTAGTGATACATGTCTTATAGGCTTTTGTTTGCATGATTCCTATTGCTGGAAACTGCCGTGGTTGTTTGTATAAACAATGAGTCAATAACACCTCCAAGCAAAGTGCCTGAATAATAAAGGGTGGCCTCATTTAGGAGCTTGTATTAGAGTTAATATTTCCAGGCTTGATGATCTTTAGAATTAGGGTGTCTGTGTACCGGTAATACTTGTAATGCTGTTTTTAAAGTGCACGAGGTATGTGTGCATGAAGCAAGCAGGACTAGCTATCTAGCCGCAAGGAAAGTAGTTTCCAGTAGGAACACACAGGAATCCAGAAAAAAGAAATTGTTCATGACCTGAGGTTGGAATCAAGGCTGTTCATTAGTTGGGATACATACGTGAATCTCATAGTCTCTTCCAGATGATAAGTAATTGGCTCACCTTTTTACGACGATTGTTGAATTCAAATTTCGAGTTACAGAGTCTAATTAATAGATTAGTAGGTTTTTTTTTGTGAGAAAGGGACACTAGCAAAGTCACTGGTTGATTTATCCATGTTAGTTCAAGTGGAAATACCATTGGCTTTAATTCCCTGTGGTCTCATTTGATGAGACTGAAATTTTCCAAGGGTTCTTGATGATGGTAGTCTGGTGAGGGATAGCACATCTAGCAATCAGTGAGCTTGAAGGTTACTATTTAGGATAATCCAAGATTAGTGTTAGAAAATGATTATGCTCTAATCTGAAATTTTAATAAGAATAAAATAAAAGAGAAAAAGGGTGATTGTGGGTGGGTGACTATCAGTGGTCTTTAGAAAATGAGAAGAATGATTGTCATTAAGTAGATAAAAAACAAAGTAGCGATTACACCAGAGATCTTGATCCAATACCGTGGGCAGAAGCTGTCTACTCTCTGAGGTCCTTATCTCCCTCAGAAGGTCTAGAGTCAGCTGTCTACTCTCAAGATTTAAGATTGTAACCAGTTTATCTGTACCATGGTGAGTCATTTCATGGAGAAATTTAACTAGAATTCATTTGAAGCCATCTGGTGCCTCCAAAAATGCCAGAGATTATCCGAGCAAACCTAGAACTGTATTTTTATTTTTTTATTTTTCAGAATCAGGGGCTAAATGTTGATATTTTATAATTGTGTCTTAGAACGACTCCAGATATTTATTACTTAAAATTGTAGGTAGGTTCATAACCTTGATTAAGGCTGCTTCTTTGGCAAAATAATATGTTAGAACATTTCTTTTAGTTTCTATATTATTTATATTATCATTAGCTTCCATCTTTATAATAACTACCTCAGGAGTAGATCTAAAAGTGTTTTAAACATCTTCTCAATGTATGATGGAGTTTCTAGCAGAGAGGAAACCCTTTGTTTCCAAAGCATCCCAAAGTCATGTATATTTTTTAATTGTACCTGTATATATATTTACTCTGAGGTCTTTGTCCAGTTAGCAAACTCAGGTAAGTACAGTATCTTTGCCATCTGGACTAATTTTACCTCTGATAGAGGACTACATTTCGTGGGCACATAAATTAGTGGTAGAATACCCTGCTTGATAATTTCTAGTTTCAAGTTTGAAATATCATCCAGCAACAAATAATATTGAGTCAGAGTTTTCAAAGGCAGTCTTTAAAAATACTGAAGTGCAGAAAGTTTCCTAACTGAGGTAAGAAAACCATGGGTTCACTTCTTCTGGTAGGGGCAGGAGAGTAGCAAAAATAGGGTGTTCTAGTGGTGAACAGTAATGTGAGAGTGAGAGAGTAACAAACTCTCATTGAGAGTGTTTAACGCTGGCTGAAAAGTGTTATGTGTTCAGAGGCAGCAGTAAGGTCTGTACTGCATGAGGAACCATGAGATTAAGAGGGGAGCCTGTAATTAGCTCTGCAGAGGCACCAGCTTTCGAATTAGCATCGAGGCTCTTAAACAAGGGGACTAAACCTTGGTAACCAGGTCAAAGTTGAGTTAAAACCCTAAGTGTTTTTCCAGTTTGCTTATGCACAAGTAGACAATAAGGCTTTCACTTGGAGGTACCTATGGAAGAAGTCTGTTGACAAGCCTTCCTCAGACTCCAAAAGACCAGTTCATATTTAGACTGAGTTGTCACCATCTCAAGAACAATTTATTTGACAATTGTTTGTAATATCCGATTAAAACATGCAATCCTCTTGATTGTTTTTTGAGGGATCTAGGATGTTTCCATGGTCTTTAGTCATCAGAAGACAGTGATTGTCCTCCTCACGCACATTATGCCTTCAATAATGAATTAGAGTCTTGGAAAAACTATGATTTATCTTTTGAAACTTTTATCTCTTTTGTGCTAAAGCCGAGAGTAAGTAATTGGAATCCTTTTTACAAGCTTCCTTGTTCTTGGAATGAAGTAGGACATTGTATACATATTCCATCAGAACTGAGTCTCAAGGGATAACTTAGGTCTTTTCATTCTTGATTGAGGACCTGGGAAAAACAGAAGTGGGCTTCAGCAAACCTTTGGGGCATGACTATTCAGGCTTACTGCTGTCCTCCCCAGGTGAAGGTAGAAAGCAAACACTGAGAGTGAAAACAGAAAGACTTCAGTTATATTTTGATTGGAGGCTGTTGATGGAAAAGCTGAAAGCAAACTGATTAGAGGCGGAAGATTTATGTAATTGGTTTTGAAACATATTTGGTTTTGTGTGGTTGTCTCTGAGTTGACAACAACAACAACAAATAGGAAGGCGGGCAATCATTGACCCAGCTTTGACCACTCGGGCGGATTGCTGCAGAGGCTATAGTTCGGTTTCCCCAGTGGGTATGGCAGAGGTTGTGAGTCAGTGGTCTGTGGTCATATGTGCTCTGCTGACTCTCTGTATTCAGTCTCCTACCATTTTGCCTCTTGTAAATCTTCACATATAATTTGTGTCCAACTATGTCTAGAAATAATTTGAAAAATAATTGATAATGAAGTTAGATTTTTGCAAAGGGGAAATAAATTGTTTTGCTTAACAAACTAATGGCAGATACCTGAAAACATGAACTTTTCTCCTCAATTCCACTAGAGTTAATTTTTTTCTCTGTAATTGTTTGTGTTGTTACAGAGGATCTTAATGATTTAAGAATGGAGGGAGTAACAACCCTGGTACCTTCTGGGAGCAAATTTAACCAAGGCCGTCCTACTTACCCTGCTGAGCCTCAGGCCAAGGTCACACTGAACATCTGTTCAAGGTGTGCCAGGTAAAAGACATAATAGGTATAGTATATATAAACATGATCTTGATTTTTAAAATCTAAGATTTTGATGCAAAGACTGTACTCTTCTGTGTTAAGAACATCTTTTCCTTCCAGTGATCTTTTGTGCTAACATTGGCTAGGGAGTTAGTTATGCAGTTTATCCTGTGCCCAGTGCCACTGAGACCAACAATGAATCAAAGACTTTAGACTGTCTTCACTTCACAGCTTGAGACCATTTTATGTCTTCTGTCTCTGAATTTCATTTGCTTATGAAATTCTTTGTTCTCTTTCAAAAAAATTTTAAGGGCTGTGAACACTCAAAGCCACTTTTAAAGCACCTGCATAGAGGAAGAGTTTGGCCAGGTACAGTTTAAGATCTGATATTATTGACCTCTTAACCTGCCCCTCATCCTATTCAACTCCTGGAAAGAATTTAATCAGCTTGACGCTCTTTAGTTTTGGCAGCTGGAAGCAATCTTTGCATATACTGTATGTGGCCAAAGAAGTAGCTTGTAGTTACTGCCAAGTCAGCTCCCAGTGCTGGTCTAGCAGAAACTCACCAAATAGCTAGCATTCATTCTTTTGTAGGAACTAAATCTCATTTGCAAAGAGGCTTTTAAGCTTGTTTAAATGATAAAACAAGCTTTCTAACCCTTATGTAAATGGTCCAGATTAGCAAGAACAGCGTACTGGCTGGCCAATTTTATCTCCTTTTCTTTATGTCTAGCTGTTCTATTGTGCTGTTTGAGAGGAGATTAGCTGCTTGGATATAGGGAGGGAGGAAAAGTGTAGGAAAATCAAGTCAGATTTTTGTAGCTCTTTCTCTTTTGCTCTACTCCTTTGGAAGTTTTATTTTAATTTTCACAGGCTTAGAAAAATGGAAAGGACACCTCTTAGAAAATCAGGGGATATTATTCTAGGCCATTAAGAGAAATGGTGTAACATAGTGAAAACAGCAATGGAAACATTGCTTCAGGCAAGTAATATTTGGTGGACTGACTTTTTAGTAGGACTGTGAAGAAAACTTCTTATATGTATGTGATAATATTTAAGCATTCTGAGTGGACACAGTCATGTGTGGAAGAGTTATTTGACACTTTGTTTTAAACTTTGTAGTATAGTTATACATTTACATTTTGACTGGAGAGGGGTTGATGCTTGGTCTTCCATGTCATTTGTAGAAGACTGGGATATGAGGTGGTGGTTTTTCCAAAAGGCAAAGTTTATAAAAAAATGTTTTTCTAATCTATTGAGGATCTGAACTGCAAAAGGACCAAGCACATTCATAGCTCTAAATTATCATTCAGCTTCTCAACGATAGACTGTAAATCACAAACAATGTGCATTTAAAGTCAGAACATAACAGAATTTTTCAACAGATATTACATTGAATAATAATTGGTGGCACGTATTACATTCTTGCTATAAACCACATACTATTCTAAACACACGAAATGTGTAAACTGATTTAATTTGCAGATAATCCTCAGAATTAATTATTATTACTATTCCCATATTATAGATAAGAAAATAGAGGCATGTATTGATTGAGTAATGTGTCCAGAGTAATACAACCAATAGGTGGAAAAACACAGTTTGAAACTCAGGCAGCATAGGTCGACGGTCTGCCTACAGTTATTCTGCTTTATTAGTAAGCACCAAGCTATTGTCTGAAGGTGAAAATGGAGGCCTCAAATAGATAAAAATAATGATATATAAAGAGATTTAGGTGTTTGAAATGATGAAAGTTCATGACTGTTTCAATGGAGAATAAGGCATTCTTGTACTTTCAAAAGCAAAGGAGAAATATATTGATCCAGATAAAAGTGATAAACAAGGAAGATTCTAGACTGTTGATTTTAGAGCAGCTACTATAGCTAGAATTTAAAGAAAAAAAACACAAGTATTGGTTGTCAAGAACTATAAAGAATCTGAGATTTTATTGCATTTGCAACTTTATATGTTAGTCTACCGCTGTTTTATGCATACTAGGAAATGTCATGAAACTCCTGGGTCAGAGACCAAGGACTTGACTTTACAGCAATAACAATAACCAGTATATGAGCCTCTTCACAGTTTCCTGAGCCACATTCTCACAGAGTAACACAAATAGTGCAAAAGCTTATATTACATAAAAGGAACCTGAGCTTAGAAAATGTGACTGTTCTATAACAGTCCATTAGCATTTCTGTGTGTTGCCCCAGGGAGGGCCTCCATACGTATCCTCCAGGGCTGTGTGCTAGATCGGCAGTCCTCAACCACTGTGGCACCAGGGACTGGTTTCATGGAAGACAGTATTTCCATGGATGGTTTATAGGGTGGTTTTGAGATAGAACTGTTCTACTCCAGATCATCAGGCATTAGTTTTTTGTAAGGAGCATGCGACCTATATCCCTTCATGCATGGTTCATAATAGGGTTCATGCTCCTGTGAGAATCTACAGCTCATTTGACAGGAGGCAGAGCTCAGGTGGTAATGCTCCCTTGCCCACTGCTAACCTCTTCCTGTGCCAGGAGGTTCCTAATAGGCCACAGACCAGTACTAGTTCATGGCCTGGGGGTTGGGGACCCCATGCTATACAAATATCCTTGAACAGATGATCTGAAAAAAAGGCTGTTAATGTCTTTAAATGTGAGAGACACATGGAGAACTGTCTCACGGTGCTACGCTGGGTAGATTACTTTTGTAATACGTTGATGTGATGATCAAAGCTTTCCATCATCAATTCTCCAACAGCAATCCATGTCACTGCCCTGCCTCTCTTTTTGCAAGCAAGGCATTTAAAATTGTAAGAATTATACTTTCTAAGCAGGGCTGAGCAATTATCAGAGGTAGAAGTCATAAACTGAAGCACGATGGTGAATGTCTGGTTGTATCAAGTGTCCATATAATATTTTGAAATATTACTTGATTAGTATCTTAGTCTTTTTTGGGATGCTATAAAATACCATACAGAAATGCCATAAATTGTGTCTTATAAATGCCAAGTATTTATGTCTCCCAGTTCTGGAGACTGAGAAGTCCAGGATCAAGGTGCTGGCTGACTCGGTGTCTGGGGAGGAACTGCTTCCTCATAGATGGCTGTCTTCTCATGTGTCCTCACATGACAGCAGGGTGAGCTAGCTTTCTGGGGTCTCCTTTATAAGGTCACTAATTCCATTCATAAGGGTTCCACCCTTGTGTCCTGATCACCTACCAAAGTCCCCACCTCCTTATATTACCACACAGGGGTTACATTTCAACACATGAATTTGGGAGAGAACACAACTTTCAAGCCATATCAATTAGTTACCAATTTCACATTTAGAAAAGGATATCTATCTTCTCTTAAAAATTAGTACATCTGATAACCTGGGTCTATATTCTGGAAGGATTTCACAGTAGTAGCTTCCTCCTGCTCTAGACCTGGAGGCCAGCAGTCATGCTCCAGTGCACTTTGTCTGGTTAGAGTCATTCATTTACACTATCTGTCTGAAGTCTAGAGGCCTTTGTTTATAACCTCTGAATTGTAGGAACACCATGTAAAGGAGTAAAGACTCTCCCTTTACCTTCTAAGCATTTGATAAGTGATTCTATGAAATAAACTCACAACAGGCAGGTTAACAGGAGAAAAGGTCTACAGATTTATTTCCATCACAGGAAAGAAAAGTGAATACCTAAAAACCTAGTGAGATTTAGGAGCTTATATACCCTCTTCATAGGGGAGAGGGTATGGGGAATGTGGTCAACTTAGAGGAGAGGAAATGATTTTGGGGGAAAGAAGAAGAGGTCTTTGGGATAACTGATGATAGTTTGTGAGAAAGTTTATCTGGGCATAGTGTCAACTCCTAGTCTCCCTCTCCTGTGATGAAAGTTCATCTTCCTTGGTTAATGAAACTCCCAGGGAGGTGATTGATGGTAATGATGAAGTTCCTTTGGGAGAATCTGTCTTTAGGCAGATGAGGGAAGTTCAGCATTTGCTGTTTTCTAAGTGCCTTCAGCTTGAAGTAATCAATATACCAAAACAGCATATTTTTGGGTGACATGTTCTAAACTCCTTCGGGTAGAACTTCAAGGAGAAACAATGAATCAGGTCTGGAAGAATGCAGGTGAAGGAGGCTTCAGGCCAGTGGGAGAAGGATCTGGTGCCAAAAGATACAGACTCCTGTCTGTACAGGGTACCAGTTTACCAGTGTCTCAGAGTGTCAGATTATGGGCAGGAGTTTAAGGCAAGCAGCCTGCAGCCTTTAGAGACAGGTAATCCCTCAGAATGCAGACAGAGTGAGCCAGTCAGAAATTCAGTGCTGCAGATCAGACCAACATGGAGAAAAATGACTGCTTCATTTAGAGAACTGTGCCCATTCCCATTGCTGTCGTTGTGGGACCCTGTATTTTGTGGGGAAGAGACAGAAGAGAGAAGAATTCAGAATTCATAGAGCAAAACTAGATATTGGATTTGAGCCTTAGAATCAGGATTTAATTCCAAATATTGAGGGATTGGTGACAGTGTGGTGCAGATGAGTAAGAAAGTTTAGGATAATTAATGTTAAATTATATCACTTTACTTACCAATGCTTTTCAGGAATTTACACAAAGGTAGACGAGAAAGACAATCTGCTTTGGAGTGTGATAAAAGGGATCTGACATCCGGACTCTAAACTACCTGGTATGCCATTTTAGGGAAAGTTCAGAAAATCTCTTTGTTTAACTGTGAAACGGAGTTCATATAGCCTTGGAGATAATTTCCAAGGGTGACTGGGAAGGCTGGATGGGATAATTACTGTGTAAATACCTGAGTAGTTTAAAATGCTTTGAGTTTTTTCCTCATCTTTTTGAGAAGCTCACATTAAATTGCTAAGATATTGAGTGAAAAGGAGCCTCATTTTCCTGACGTTGAGTCTTCTCTCTCTGCCTAAGACTTCTGACTGGTCAGGAAAGAAATCTCTGGTCCCTCTTTCAGGATTTCTGTGTTCTATGAAACAGTGTAAAGTGGCAATGTTTTTGTTTGTTGTTGTTTCTTAGAG